TTTGTCACGTAGAACCAGTCGCAAAGTATGAAGTATAAACCATACTTCATACTGGACTTTTACCTGACGACACAACTTCCAGGGAATAAACTGCACGATGTATGAACAGAGTGTGAAAAGCTACTAGTGTCACTGCACTTTCTTTTTTTTTTTTTAGATGTGTCACCTCTAATATAAAACATGTTTATGTTTAGTAAACATAACAGCACACTTCATATCATTTTACTCTATAAGTGTTTGTCACATATCTGTATTTTTATTGTTTATAATAAAGTTTTATGTGATCTGCCCCAGGAATACAGATGTGAATTAGCAGTTTTACTATAATCTGGCATGTTTAGATTTTTGTCCCTGTTAAATAAAAGAAAGAAAGACAGAAAAAAGTCTATTTCAATGCAATATTAATTCTGTAACTTTATTGTTAATGCGTTCTAGATCCTTCCCCGGGAAATTGTGAATTGTACATCATTTTTGTAAATTCTGATGAATGCTCATCAACCTTTTCATCAACCTTATTTGTACCTTTTCATCATTATTTATTCTTTATTTCTACAAATGACAACACAAACATCAGGCAAGGTTCAGAATATAATGGAAGATAATGCAGTGTGACTCTCAGGCATTCTGCTCTGCTTTAAAATAGCTTTTCTAATTTAATAACCCGCTGAGTGTATATACAGACAGGAGCTACTCTTTAGTCTTTCTTTGTGTTTGCTAATTCTATGTTATCTGTTTGAGGAAGTAACCTGATTAAATATGCAAACAAGGGGACTGATTATCAGACTTTCTCTGAAAAGTGCTCTAATATCAAACTTCCTCTCTAGCTCCTCTTTGAATCCTTAAGCTAAATTGATTCAATAATGAATAAAAACTAAGAAAAAACAAGTCTGTGGTGAAAACCAAAGATATGCACCAAGTACCAAGACGTTTTGAAAACAAGAATTAGTTTGGTATGAAGTTGTGAGCCAAACAATTATTATTTATGTCGACATACTTCATCTCCCTTTATGAAACATAGTGGGAGTGTACCAATTGCTGTCCATCAATCATAGCTTGCTAGCAGGATTAAAATGTGTCACTTGCATGCAATTTCGCTTTTCTTCATAGAAATTTATTTTCATTTATTTTATTGAGCATAAACAGTTTAGAGTCTGTTCATAACCACAGTGCACAGCCATGTGCTTTGCAAGGTCAATTAGTCCATTTTAAATTGTTTTTTATGTTTAATATGTATCATTTGGGTTGCGGGAAATAGTACCTCAATAACATGTCTAAACCGGAAGAGTAACAGTTGCACGTTGGCACAATCGTTTATTTATTTATTGACTTTGTAAGGATTTAACTGCTGTGCTTTTACTTTGAAAAGCTTCCTGAAGAGACGGGTTTTGACTACGAGTAGTCGGCTCTTTCTCTCCTCTGCTATGTCACTTTATTGTATGAACCGAGACACGTGTGGGTCCAAAACGGGTTCTGTGTATAACGCGACCCTGGAGGAAACCCACAAGAACCACTCACCTCTGCACCTCCTGCTCAAACTCCACCTGCTCCTCTCCTTCCCGCTGCTCCTTCTTCTTTTTCCCACTCCGCTTCGTTTTCTTCTTCTTCTTCGTACTCTCTCGCTGTTCTCTCTGCGGCAGCTCCTCGGGCTCCGACATATCTACTGTTTATTTACGCACGAGCAAATAAACAAAAAACAAACAAACAATAACAACAAAAACTCTACCGTTATGAGTTTGATACCCTCTGATAAACACGCAGTAAGCTGATCACGGTGTATTTCCGGGTCTTGTCGCTATGGCAACAGGCAGCGGCTTTAGTTTAGCGGACTGGCACAGTTCGAGCACGCGGCAGATTCACTGGTGTGTAATCAACAAGCGCGCGCGCGCACCTGTGTGAGCTTCAAAACTCAGGTTTGTTTATTGCTGCATTTTAGTGTGAATGTGATTGGCAGTCCAAATTTTTTAATTATATTTATAGGAGTCACTGGAGACCAAAATATAATTAACATTGCAGGCTAAACAGCAGAACAATTATTTAAAAAAGGTAGACCTTACCTTTGACACCTTAAATAGCGTTAAGATATTTCAAGAGTTTGGTATTTTATGTTTCCATGTTGTTTTATTTTTCGATTTTTATTTTTCACTGTTTTTAAAACTGGGAATCAGTAAGCTAGCACTGTCGCAGGCTAGCTAGACTGATTGCAGTTGTAATGTACTACATGACAGTTAAGGAGGATTTAAACTTTTATTTTATGTAAAGTTAGCATTTTAATCTATTGTGTTTTCACATCTATAGGTGTTTAATCTGTTCCAAAACAGGTGATACATCTGGCCAATAAGCCAACTAAACATTCTCATGTGTTTGTAGTTACAGACTTGGAGTTCACTTGGAGAAAACACAGACATTCTAGCACCTCTAAAACTCACTAATTAATATGTATATTAGCATATCTTGCTAATTTAATCTATACACAAACATAGATTTGCAGCTAATTTCTGACCACAATATGGTATGATAATATAACTTTCATGTATAATGGAACCAGTGGAAGTGATTCGTCTCTTAATAGATGCTTTCACTCTGTCATCTTCTCCAGTAACTAAAGACACAAATAAAAGCTGCGTTTAGATCCTCCCTCATACTAAGAGACAAATAGTATATTTAGCAAAAGCCAGTTAACAGCAAACAGAACATAAAGCATCAATACTTTTGAAATGACTGGCTGCATTTTGATCCGTGCATCCTTCCAAATAATTATAGTCAAGGCATGAGTCCCCCTATATGCTATAATAGACGGCCAATCAAAGAGGAAAGTGACTCTGGTATAAACACCATATTATGAGCCACAACACAAACGTGTGTGTGTGTTGCTGACAGATGGCTGAGTTAAAGCTGCATTAATCAGTGTTATGATCAGCCAACAGACTGAAACTCAAAACCACTATCACAAAGACTTGTGCTAATACTGTTAATTAATAATACTGATAATACAGCTGCTGCTGCTAAAGCGAAAGCTACCTTCTGAGTGTAATAACGCATTTGTAGTTTCACTGTGAGCAACTTACACAAGCAGCCGTCATTGAGTTTTTTTCCAGAGCTCCACATTTGCCTTCACAATGTCCCTTTACTGGAAGCATGATTATTTTGAAGTGAGGTTTTCAGAGCTTCCAGATATTTAGGATCCGTACCAATAATTACAGCTTCCACTGTTTGACTGTTGAAAAGAGCCTTTGCCACATGTTTTTACCCTTTCTCTGATTTTCTACCTGCTTTTACATCGTCCTGTCTAATGAAAGTTAAAAAAAAAACCAAACATATTTTTTACTTATATAATCTTTTCTTTGTGGTTTAAATTCTGTAGTTCTGACCAGGATTTATTCATGCTTTAGTTGAAGTTTCTCTCATTATTATTCCATTTATTCCACCAACAGGAAGGCTAAATGGTGGGATATGGCCACCATATTGTCCCTGTTGACTTACACACACACACACACACACCAATACTCAGCAGGACAGCAGTGTGTGGAGGGGGGCTCTCATGCATAAACAAGATCATTTTCATAAATTAAAATCTTGCTTGCAGAACGAACATCTGTGCCCTTCACACACACACATGCACACACACACACACACACAAACACACAGAGAGAGAGAGAGAGACTGTAATCTGAGTTTTGTCCTTTATTTGGCATGATAATGTCATTAGCATGATTTCCTCTTGAAGGAGATATGAATTTCTCCCTTGTGTGTTTAGTGTTGTGCAAGGAGCCTAAACACAGCGGTCAATGCAAAATTTGTGACGTTATTATGACATCAGATCTTGTGGGAATTTTTCAAGAATACTCGCATAGCTGCGAGCAGCCAATTTCTTCCTCTTCAGGCTAAGCACTCATTACATTGCATTGAAAAAACACCTAACCTCAGTTTAAACCCCTTAAACAGCAACCTTATAAGAACTCAGATTTCGGGATGTTGATTTGGTTTCCAAAATTTAACCTTCAGTGTTTTTGTCTAGACCAAGGATGTCAAACTCTTTAAAAATGTGGGCCACTTCACATCAAAGTTGGTTAAACCAGTGAAACTACAGTAAACGTATAACCTTACAGAGAAGGTTCTGGTTAGTCATTGCTCAGACAGTCCTGTAATTCCAAATTTTTAAATATAAAGTTTTCAGTAATTTACAGAAGCCTTGTACTTTGATGTAGTATAGATACAATGGGGGATGGAAGTATTTGTCAATAGGCAAATGTGTATAACTTGTGAAAATACTGTTAAAAGTCCCAAATCTATGCACTTCTACACATTTTATAAACCTGTCCAGTGGCCTGGGTTGTAGTCTTTTGCCTGATCTTATGTTTGGCACCCCTGGTCTAGACTTTCTGAAACTGAAGGGTGTTTCCAACAGAAAAGACTAAGAAAACAAAAGATTATTCACATTAATTAGGCTGAATAAATTCTTAAAAATACATCAATATATATATAATGATGTATTTCATTTGAGGTATCTACCCACTAGCCACTTTTATTAGGTATGTATTGCTAGTACTGTGTTGGACCCCCCTTTTATCTTCAGGACTGGCACAAATATGTAAAAACTCCTCAGAGATATTAGCCCATGTTGGCAGGACAGCATCATATATTTGCAGCAGATTTGTCAGATCCATCTTTATGACATTAATCTCCCGATCCAGCACATCCTAAAGGTGCTCTGTTAGATTGAGATCTGGTGACTGTGGTGGCCATGCTGATGCTTGGTTTGAACTTTAGCAGGTCATCTTGAAAATGTCTAAATTGCTAGATGCATGGAGTTGCTGCTAATATGGCTGATATTTCCATTAACGAGCAGTTTAACAGTATATACCTTATAAAGTAACCACTAAGTATTATATACTGCTCTAAAACAACAGCAGGACCAAAACTGGCATGTTATTTGTATCTAATGACATTGTGTTTATTTGTTTTGTTGTCTTTCTGCACATAATGAGAGTCTCTGAGACGGATCACATTGAATCCCTTTTAATAAAAGGTATTTATAAACATCTATCTTATAAAATATGAACAAGAGTCACATGAAATGTTAACAGAACACTACAGGAATGTTATAAAAAGCAAAAAGTAAAAATCACATAAACACTTCAGCTCATCACCGGCCCAACACTGCCTCACACACTGACCCAAAAATAGAGAAATCTTTATTCTTTCAACATTTGGAATTATTATACTGAGGGTCACTCAGATTTTTAACAAAATTGCATAGTTTACTCCAGATTATTGCTCATTGATTATTGATTATTTTTAAGTGATAATATGGATAATAACGAGACATTCAGAGAGCGTCTCCCGCAGGATGAAGTGCTACAAAGAAGGTTACATCAAGGTGACATCTTTGCGACGTCGCCGTTGTCAGGATGAGTCGCAGAGCCTGACGCAGACAGAAAGAAAAAAAGCAAGGACAGACAGAAAGACAGCTTTAAAACGATAGAAGTACACAAGACTGTCTTTCCATACAAAGGTCTCTCTGTCTTCATCAGTCTCTCAGTCCTTCGTCCTCTTCTTCCTCAGGAGTCATGGAAGATGGCGTTCAGCTGGGCGTTCATCAGCCGCTCGTGGTGTGAGTGTCCGTCAAAGCCCATCAGCCCGTCCACTTGTAGGTCACCACAGCGTGGGTTGGAACCCCCGCTGCCATAGATGGCAGGGTGTCCTCCAGCTCCCCCGCCTCCATAGTGCACACTGAAGGAGAAGCTCTTGTCGTAATCGGTGGCTGCGACGGCCTCGTGCTTGAAGGACGAAGAGAAGTTCCCGTTGATGCTGAGCGGTGGGCTGAGCGGCGGGTCAAACGCCGGGCCGTCCGACACGAGGACGCCATCAAAGAAGGGCTCCAGTGGGCCGTAGGGTTGACCTTTGACCTGGTGGAAGATGTGAGAGGGGTCCATGGTGCCGTAGGGAGGGCTGGGCAGGCCGGCCGTAAGCCCGGGGCTCTGGTAGGGAAAATGTCCGGGGTAGGAACTGGCACCGACAGGGGGAAGGTGAGCCGGTAGGTCTGGAGTCTGCTCTGGCAGGAACGTCCGAGGGTTAAGCTGCAGGCAGCCCGCCACCAGATTAGTGGTCGGCTGAGACAGACCTGACAATAGAAGGACAATGATTAGTTAATACTGATCAATACATGCTGGTCATTGTTTCTTTATAGCATTAAATAGTTAATAATTAGTGCTTGTCAATACTTGTTAATGACTATAAACACAGTTTATTGGTATCAGTCTATTGTCACGAGGTTCATTTATACATGTTAATAAATAAAACCTGCTATTAACCTGCTATTAAATGTAATAGAAGCACTAGTTAACTAATCATCCATGTACTGTAATATTGTTTTTTATTAAGTTGTTTTTAAATATTATAACTGTATGCTGTAATAGCTGTTAATAAATGCCAGTACATAATAATTAATGCTATTTTTTGAGAATCTTAAAATTGTGACTAATTAACTAATTTTATTATTTTATGTAAAAAAAAAAAACACAAGCAAACAAAACGCAGAGATGTTATGCCAAAATTTAGTTCCATAATGACACCTACAAGGTTATTTTAAAAAAATCTAATTAGTACTGCTGTTTGCAGTCAAGTAATTTCTCTTTTTTTAAACACATACAGGGCTAGTTTAATAGACATAATCTTATACATGAAATCAGATGACCTCATCCCAGAAAAATCTGCATGCATCCACCAGTAAACTATGAATAAGTAGATGAACCAATGAGCTAAATGTGGCTTGTAAAAAAACCTCAAACCTCACGAAACACATTCACCCGAGACATTATACATTTATCGAACTAATTTCTTTATGAAAACTTTTCAGGAATTTTGTTATTTTGCATTACACGTATTGACGACTTCACCTCGTTGAACCACACTCATTCATTAGAAAAACTACCTACTCATGAGACATCATTAATTTTACCTGTGCTGCTCCTACTGTGACGCTTATAAATATCTGTTGTAAAAAAGCTGTATTACAGTCTCAACCATCAGCTAAACTGTCACACTAAAGAGTGTAAGGAGTACACATGCTCATTGTGCCCAATGGGAAAACGCTTCCTGGGTAAAAATCCTTGTTGTCCCTTTATGTTTCATAATCAGAGACCAGACTGGGTCAGCCTTCGGTCCAGTCCATTGTAGTCTGTTAATGTTAGGTGGGATTTACCTTTGCAGAGTGCCTGGACGAAGCTCATGAGGTCAGGTGCCTTTCCAGAGCGCAGTATCTCGCTCAGGGCCCAGATGTAGTTCTTGGCGAGGCGCAGTGTCTCAATTTTTGATAGTTTCTGCGTTTTGGAGTAACAGGGGACGACTTTTCGCAGACTCTCCAGGGCATCGTTCAGGCCGTGCATGCGGTTTCTTTCCCGGGCGTTAGCCTTCATCCGACGGACCTTAAACCTCCAAAATACATGAAGCAGATTCATTGTTAGCTGGGTTATCTCTCATTTCCTCTGAAACATCTTAGTAGTGTTCGTTTTTATTCAGTAACCTTTTGCATAAGTTTGCAAACAATTGTATGTAGATGTAAAACGTTGCATGTTGTCTCACATTGATTTTACTCTGTGTTCTGGTATTTTGCAAGCACTTACTGATCAAATGTACGTAACAATTTTCTGCTAATCAAAATCTGAACAAAAACATGTTTCCAGAGAAAATTGTGGCAGATGGCTTGATTCAATATGAGCTCCAACACAGAGCCGCCTGTAGTGACAGGTTCAGTGAGGGACTTCATTAAACTGTGGGAGGAACCTGTGAAAATGACCCTCAGCACATTTCTTTGTTCCCCCTATTTATTTATGTATCCAGTTATGTTTCTATTTAATTTGTAAGCTATAAGTTGCTATTTCTTCAATGATTCAGCACACACACACACACAGAGCCTTTTGACATCAGCTGTGTGTGTGCTGAGGATGAGACTAAGTACATGCTAAAGCAATTATTGTGCATACAGAATGAATGTTGATGATTGACAGGCCCTGTAAGTTTTAACAAATGCCCACATCTATCTTACTCCTAAACAGCACTGCACAAAATGACAGAAACGTCTCTTGACTGAAAACGCAGAATCGGCATTCGTTTGGAAAGTTGCCTTACAAAGGACATTTTAAATGAGCACAGTTTAGTCACTAAATTTGTGAGTCTTATTTCATTTTCTTTCCTTATAGTTTGAAAAATTTGAAGTATTTTCTATTAGATGTCACTGTACACAGACACACTTTTAGGACGCCAATGTTCTTAGTTTCCCGGTGCCGTGTTTGTGTCTGCAAAGTAAATGTTAATACTATGTGATAAAAAAAAAAATTCTTTGGTTAAAGATGAATCCTGTTCATGTCTATAATTTCCTGCATTTAGAGCTAAGACTAAGTTAGAGCTTTAAAAGAAAATTACATGTATGTGAGCCAAAACACTGACCTTCATTATAAAGCATAAATCTATCTATCGATCTCTACAAGTGTGATCATAAAAAAAATGCAGAAAACTACAAAATTAAAACTAGAATTTCAACCATCCTTTGAATATTTTTATTCCTGTTAAGCGGTTTTGTGTCTTTTTAATAGTTTAATCCAATGCAAGTGATTTCTACTGAATGGGTCCTGCTTTACAGAGGTTGAACCTTGTGAGACTTCCGCTAGTGCAACTTTGGATTTTTAATGTTTAACTTGAAAGTGTTGCTTTCACATCACACTGAGAGCAAGCAGAGGAAAAGAGAATCTACCTCTGCAGACGAGCCTTTGTCATCTTCTTCTTCTTGGGCCCTCGCCTTTTGGGTTTGCTCTCCCCGTCTTCTTCTTCTTCCTCCTCTTCCTCCTCTTCATCATCCTCCTCATCCTCCTCTAGATGATGGAGGCGGTCCTCCTCCTCCTCCCCTCCTCCACCTGTAACTCCTTCTGCACTCCTCTCTCTTTCTGCAGGGCTGCAGAGCTCCTGCTGCTCATCCGACTCCACTGACATCTGCTCCTCCAGCACAGACCTCGTCATAATGCTGATTTCTGATGGAAAACAATTTTAGCTGATATTAAAGAATAATAAAACACTCCTGCAAGTTTGCTGTCACACTTAAGCTTAACAGAACAGAGAACAATTAACAGTTTGGGATTTTAAGATTTAGTCCCTGACTTTAGAACATTTGGGTAGAATTTTATTTAGACGGTCTTTATTTAAATAAAACAGAACAAAGACGATGAAATTAAAGGAGCAATTGGACATTTTAATTTACCCGCTGAAAGACACAAAGAAAGATCCTCTATTGAACCGAATCCAATATTAAATATAAATGCCAAATATAAACATAAAATGTGCAGACAAAGGTACCATCTCTACAGAAGAAAAAAGAATGTAATAAAAGAAAACTGCGGTGTTAAGAATGGCTGCACAATTAGCTACAAGGCGTGTTTTCATATTTAGATATTAGAATGTGTCGGTAACACCCGCGCAAAGGATCGCAAACTGCCTCCAGAGAGACGCAATCACGTCTCTGTTCAGAATTTTTTTTAATGATTTAACAGAAAGCGTTTAAAATATATCGAAACTCTAAATAAATATATATATTAAAAAAAAAACATTTAAAGTATTTAACAAAGTGTGCGAAATGCGAAAGGCATTGTGTTACAGCTTATTGATAAAAAGTGTAGTTTTTTATAAGGCGAAGTTACAATAATAATAGTGATAAATTAATAATAATACTAAGACTTTCTTTCTGCTGACTGGTTCCGTTAATCAGAATCAGAATCAGAATACTTTATTGATCCCTGGGGGAAATTATTTAGTTTAACAGACCGACAGACGGCTGCAGGTGAGCAGACATTCGGTACTAACACGAATATAAAATACAATCGAAACTCAAAGGATTAATAATTAAATTACGTTTTTTATTTTAGGAAAAAGTGTGTAACAGATTGGTCAACAAACAGGATAAAAACTCAAATATATAATATATAAACCAAAAAAAAAGAAAAAAGGAAACTGTTTTTAATTATTACAAAACAAAAATTACAGGCTTTTGCTTTTGTTTTTTTAAACTGTCCTTTCTAATTGTCTATACATTAGATGAGAGGAAATAGGCTATTTTATTCATTGGTAAGTGAAGTGATCATTAACGTTCTAATAATTAATTAAAAGATAATTTAAAAAAAATTAATCACAAATAAGAAACCATATTCATCATTCCCAAGGTCAGACAACGCCGAGACCCAGCAACCAGAGGAATTCGCATATTGATTATTATTCAGTTATGAACCTACCTGCTGTAATGAGCCGCTGTATGTCAGATCGCACACATCCCGCGCGCTCTGTCTGCGTGTCCGTGCGTGATTGTGCGTGATCTGCTATGAGGTTTCTGAGGTGTGTGTGGGATGCTGCTGGTTTTATACTCAGTACACACACGCAGCGGGGTTTGGTGGGGGTAATTAGCATATTGAGGCCCCGCCCTCCTGGCACGCGCCATATGGTGCTTGCGTCATTAAAACGGCCTCGGGGATCACGTGACAAATCTTCCATTCATGCCATCCAGTCTCTCTCTTTCTCCCTCTCTCTGTCTTTTGTGAGGTGAGTTGACCATCTGTCGCCACAACATCTACGCATGCGTAGATTTAAACTTACTGCTGGAAGGCAAGTGTTGCATGTGATGATTGAGGTCACTATAGGCCTCAAAGACTTATCATTGCTGTCTGTTTTTAAACGTAAATGATTTGTAAATGATTAGGCGACAGCTTCTCACCTGTGGCTCTGAATCACAGCTTACTTGTCTGACAGGTAACAACATCTTGAGCTGTTGAAATGTGACTGACCCCGTCTCTTTCTCATGAATAATTAACAAAAATACTTCCAATCTCCTGCTGAGGAGATACTCATAGATGGGTCCTAGTGCTGTTTGATTCTTTATGTATATAATAAACATGTAGAGGAAAGACTCAATAGCTGTAAGAACGAACAAAACTTGTGTGCCTGTAAATATTTTGTCTGTACCTGGATTACTTGTATTCAGATTACTGTTGAGTTTAAATTTTCTGTCCTTTTCCATCCATTCATCCATTTTGTGCCACTTATCCAGATCTGGGATTTCCTCCCCCCAGTTATCTCCTTCAGCTCTTTGCACTGAGGGGCATCGCGGCACTTCCAGGCCAGCTCAGACCTTCCCTACAGCATGCCTTGGATTTGCCCCTGGGTCTCCACGCAGCCGGAGATCCCTGAAACACCTGGGAAGCATCCAGGAAGCATCCTGGTAAGATGCTCAGTGTGGAAAAGTAGCAGCTCTCCTCTAAACCCCTCTGAAGTAACAAAGGGCCTCTTTGCCACTTGTATCTGTAAACTCATTCCTTTGGTCACACAACGAGTCATTCAACAAGTTCACTTTACATTCTTTCTTCTCCACAACAGACCCACATTACTGTTCAGTAACATAGTCAACGTCTTACTCTATAAAGCCAGTTAGTTTGTAGAGCTAAGTGAACGCGATACAACTCAGTATAAATGGAAATCTTTTAAAATTGTTTTTTAAAAGGCGTGTGTACAGACCTGCAACTGTGGCACATGAACTTGATCCAATCAGTTCAATCAGGACAACATGTTATACTAGTTCTTCAGGGCCTTAATGATGAGGCTTGATCAGACGTACATGACCGTGACTCTCTACAGAAATATAATATAACATAATAATATTGCCATGTTCATCTACGATGTCAGAGGTTTATTATGACTCATGGCTAGTGATAGTGCTTTCGAATGCAACAGTCTTAATGAGAGCTTAGAAGGACATGAGGAGGCTGAGATGGTAAATGGCCTGTATTTGTATAGCACCTTACTAGTCCCTAAGGACCCCAAGGCGCTTTACACATCCAGTCATCCACCCATTCACACACACTGGTGATGGCAAGCTACATTGCAGCCACAGCCACCCTGGGGCGCACTGACAGAGGCAAGGCTGTCGGACACTGGCGCCACCGGGCCCCCTGGCCACCACCAGTAGACAACGGCCCAAGGACACAACGACCGAGACTGTCCAAGCCGGGGCTCGAACCGGCAACCTTCCGATTACATGGTGAACTCCCAACTCTTGAGGGACAATCGCCCCCCAAGATGTCGGGTATTGAGGTTGGAGGAATTGTCTTGTCACTTGAACAATCTGGAGCAACATTAGAAATGTCTTTAAAAATTTCTGCCTTTATCCCTGTTTTAAACAGTTACTGCATCTCCCCTCTTTGTCTTAAGAACAATGTTCTTAAGACCAACTTTTATGGGCCACCTTTTTCTTCAAAGGTAGCCCATAAAAGTATCTTCTAGCATTAGGTCAGTCTTGGTCAAACATAATCATAGGGAATGTTTCCACTACATGCTTGACAAAGTCAATAGAGAACAGAAGAAGAGCTGGAGGAAACCAGTAGGCCAATAAGAAAAAAGCAGAGGACTTTGGACCAGGCTGCTGTGCGGTAAAGACGCTGCTATGGTGATGATAGAATGGTTGCTAGGTGGTTACCCAGTAACTGTGGAGGACCTGTGTCTGTCCACCGGTTTGAACCATCTGACAGGTAATGGTTAACACACAATCAATGCTTCAGTCTGTCTGCTGCTTAGTTCAGCTTTAAATAAATATGAAACTTTATCCGATCAGATTTATAGCAGTGATAATAATGAAAAAAAGAATCAAAGTTTTCTCTTTTTCTGCTTGATGGATTTTTATTGCTTTAAATGTATTTTAGTGAGGTCCGCGCTTAGAGTTTTATTGCATTTTAAATGCAGAAGGTGTACTATGTTTACCTGACATGTTCACAGGACGCAGAAGCGACCGAAATGAATGAATTTTCTCTTTGGAGCAAAGCTCACAAACAGCACAGAAACTCACTGTTGAATAATCATCAATATTCCATACTGCCAGGTGTGTGTGGGCGTCTGTGCGTGTATGTAGAAGGTCAGATTGCCTTATTCATGCAAAAAACGCACACAATAGTATCTAGTATCCAGGCCACACTTGAATTAATAAACAGAGAAGTAAACAGACAACAAAGATTCATTAGAACACATAACAACAAAGAAGAAGTTCACCCCTTAAAAAAAAGAAATGAAGAAATTATAGAGAATAAAATTATCGCACAACTCTAGAAACAAGACAAACAGCTCTGCAAGAGCAGAACTGCATTCAGCTTTAATGTAGTTAAAATGCATTTGAAAATAATATGATGGTCATAAATAAGCAAACTGAAGGCCGCTCCATATTTACACGTGACACCAAGAGGAAGAAGACTGGTTTTTAGAAACATGTTGCGACATAAAGCAGAAGCACCACAGGAAGTAGCTGCAGAACAAACATCCAATCACAGTCAGTCCCCTACACTATTTTTTTAAAAAGTTTTTTTCTTTCTCATTCTTTTGGCAGGTGTGACTCAAACTGTCATAACTCAACATGTTCCCACATGACGTTCAAAGTAACAGCAGATTCCTGCTGGAGGCGTAGCTGAAAAATTCTTGACATTTTTAAAAACTTTAAATAGGGAAACTTTACTTCTGATGCATCTCAATACACAAAAAGTAACAGTATGAATACAGCAATGCAAAAATGCAATCACAAGCGATCACTGCACAAACGGGCAATGTTTACAGTGTTTCCAGGGGCAGGAGGAATATCTTGTGCCAGTTAAAGCATAGGCCGTGTTTTTAGAATCACTTCGACATGTATGTTTATACAAACAATAACTCAGCATGGCATTACAGTTGGGAACAGTATAGTTATAAATACTCAGACTCCATTTATTCATCTTTGAAGCTTGAGCAAGATCCTCAAAGTGTCATCACATGCCACCTGAAGCATTTGCTTTTAACACAAATACAGCAAGCTCTAAAAACAGGTGTTTTAAAGTGCTCGTGCATTGCACATCATCATCATCATTATTACAAAGCTCATTCCTGATTATGTGACCCAAATATCTGACTTTAGTCTCCATGAGAGAAAAAAAAACGTGCTCTAAGGATCGTTAATAACCATCCATCCAGCATCATGCTTGTTTCATGTTTGTTAGAAAGGTCATCAATATACAAATTGATGAGAACAGGTGACAATGCCCCACCTGGTCAGACCCTAATGGTTACTAAAATGGGCGTAGGTGTGCTCCATCTGATCTGTATAGTTTAATGCAAATAATCTAGGATCCTTATCACATGTGAGGGGACGTGTTAGAACTTGAAAACAGGCAGCAACAAAGCCTCTCAGTGCAGATCAGCTGCACTGCAATAGTGTTTGGTTTCCATCTGGTGCTCATATGTTGGTACTGCAGATTAAAAAGTTCAAATATTTCTTTGAATTCTTCAGAATATCTATGAATTATAAAAACAAGAAGTAAACATTTAGCCTCTACACTGACTTTTATACAAAAAAAATCTAAACACTTGAGAAGTATCTGAATTGATTTCTCATCAATCTGATCTTGAGCCAAGTCTAATTATTGACAAATGCTTTCTGATTAAAGTGTACTTCTCATAGCTCTTTTTCACCACACTAAGTGATCAGTCACAGCACCAGCTGGGTAATATAAGCAAATGCTTATATTCAGGTCATGTCACAGAAATAGTTAAAGCAAAATTCTTCCAGTAAAGTCTGGAAAATCTGCTTTTTCTCCTTCTTTCAGTCATTCTGTTGCTGGTTGCGTACATGCTTTGGGTCCTTGTCTTGTTTCATGACCCAAATCTCGTGTCATAAAACTGCCACCTTGAAATTATCCTGATATTTTGCACGTTTACTCAGTGGATGCAAGGTGTTCATGCCAGAAGGAGCAGCCCAAAGTCACAGTTAGGAAAAGTTGTATTTTTCTTCTGGATACATAAACCAAAATCTTAGGAAGTTAGAAAGAATTATGCAGGTGTTTTTGCTATTAGCCTTTTAAAAAATTGAGATGAAGTGGTCAGCTGATTAATTAAAATAAAAGCACTTTGTTTTGATTTAAATGTTCACAGTTATTAAGCTAAAATAATACAAATTTTACTGGTATCACCAACGGGTTTTCTCTCTGTTGGAGTGTTTGTCAGTTGGCAACCCCGAAGGGTCACGACAGCAGGTAGCTCTCCATGTTTGATTTGGCAGGGTTATACACCAGGTGCACTTATTAATGCACCCTCAAAGGTGAGTGCTATCTTGAGATGGAATCGAACCAGCAACCTTTCAATTGCTGCTACACATCTACAGTGAACTAAAACTACATTTCAAACTAAACCTGGGGGGAAAAAATCAATAGCGATTAGACTGCATAACACTTTGGAGGGCAAAGCAAGAAATATGAGAAAGCAATGGGGATATTTTTAATTAAAAAATAATTTTATATATATATATGTGTGTGTGTGTGTGTGTGTGCGTGTGTGTGTGTGTGTGTGTTTGTACTTCAAAAACAAGGCATTTGATTCTTGTAACCTCACTGGATTCTAGCTGATATTACATTATGTGTGCAGTCAGTAAATATTAAAGACAACAGTAGCCAGACGACAACAAGCTAGGATATGTGAAGAAAAAGGGGGTCCGGCAGGGGTCGCTGTTCCTCCGCCGTACCCTTCTGAGGACACACCTCCTTCCTCCTGCCCTCCCCGTCGCCGTCCTCCTCCTCCTCGCACGCTACTTGTCACTGCTTCAGCAGGTTTCAGGAAGCGGAAGCGGGAATGTTGGAGTGTTTATTAGAAAAGTTTGGTCAACTTTGACACTTTGGGATTTGAGGCGCAAACTGTGGAGGAACATGAAGGTGAGTGACCGGGGCGCTCACGGCGACGCTGCCCACTGCTCTGCGGCTGTTTGAGAGTTTTGGTGAGGCTGCTGTCAGCCCCGTCCTTCGTGTCATAACAGAGCAGGAACGAGTGAACGGGATCAGAAAGGGGGCTTGATTTTACAGCAGGAGAAGAAAGTTTGCTGACGATTTAGAAGAGAGGCTGCGCAGGCTTGAAAAGTGAGTTTAAAGTCGGTTGGATGGTGTTCAAACCGCACATATCTGAAGAAAAGTGACCCTTCAGTGGGTTACAGATAGGTCTTCATCTGTGCGTGAGTGTGTTGCAAACTGTGGCGTGTTAAAAAATGCTTATTGACTAACAAGCTGTCGGGCTGTGCAGTGAATTGCGGGCTCTGAAATGCTGCTGCTGCTGTTTGTGATCACTTAAAGGTGTACCTAATCCACATAGCTGAATGCAGGCTTACATTTCTGAAGGAAACTTTAGCATCAGATGATTTTATTAGTCAGCCTGCAGGGAGCTGATCAATAAGTTTTAGTTTCGGGTGTGTTTTTGAGCCTTGGGAAATGCAATCAGTCTAAAATCAAAATAACAGAATTCACTATGACACGACACAGCAGAAAAGTTTACCAACTGATCATCAGCCTCCTTGTTGAAGTCTTATCTATGAAAAGTTCCTTTTTGTTTAGTTAAACCAAAATGATCTTTGGTTTACCTACTTACTTTTTTGCAATATATAAAAAAACCAAGCTTATCTTTTTCTACTAATAATCATTTTAATGTTAATAACTTCAGGGTTTGTTTGTAAAAATGTATCTTGTGTTTTTAAATGTCCACATTACTGTAAATGCTGTTGGTCAGGCTAATATAGTAACTTATTAACAAATAGTAGTAATAATGTTGAAAAGACCAAACCTCACCATCATGCTCTTCAGGTTGAAATATGTGATTTAGTTTAGAAAATGGAAATGCTTTCACAGTTATGTAAAAGTACCAAAGCTACAAGTGGTGGAAGCTTCCTGAGTAAAAGATTTTTAAGTGCCAAAACTAGAGATGTCTAAAGCAGGCAAAGTACCTGTGGCGGTATGACGTGCTATTATTAGCAGTGATGCATTCATGTTTAAACACATTATGCTCCAACTCAGGTGGTTAAGTTGGAGCTGGTTTCTGTTCTGGTTCTGCATTGTTGAATGTCAGGCTGCTGGTTAATATCCAAATGCATTCACCGATTGCTTGGTAACATGTAAGAAATGGCAGTTTCTCACCTGCGCTGCATTAAACCTTGAAATTATTCAGTAAATCTATTTCAGGGCAAGCAGTAAATCCCCGATTTATAAAATGTTTGATATTTTTGCATGAAAATGACCACAGTCATCATTTTTTAAAAGTATATATTAAAACTATTGTGAAGTTTGTATTCAGTATTTGAATTTGCATTAAAACTAGTGTTAAATATAGTGAAGTAATTACAGAATATGTCCATGAAATCCAAGTGCTCAACTGTCCCTTGTACAGATATGTCAATTTGAACACACCGACTTTATTTGTCGCCTCACATGCTTCACGAGCGTTCCACAGAGTAATGCTTCTGTTATCATTACGCCGTGTACGCTGACCACGCCGATCCTGGAAAAAGTTGAGGCTTGTGTTGCGTTTTGCAGTTCGACCTCTGAGTCTGGCTTCTGTCAGAGTCGACAGGTTAACTTAACACTGAGGCCCGATATTCCTGCAGTCAGTGGGTCATCCTCTTCTCTCAGAGATGACTAGTTTACTTTCAGATAAAACAGAAAAGCCAGAAAAAGTTGATATTTTAAACGGATTATTGGACAACCAAGATTTACCCTTGCTGAAATGTAATACAACTCAAAGAGGAGTCATTTCTTAAAGCTAAATGTGTCTTTTTTCCTTTCTCCAATAATAAATTTACGTATATTATTCAGTCGCCTGCATTGTTTTGATTTCCAGAACGTCCTTTTCCAGGGCCAGCTCAGATCTTGTAATACCCTAAAATAATATTAACTGAAATGACTTTTATTATAGAGATAATAAATCCCAGAATAACTTAATTATATTTTTAAAGTATTTTTAAGTGTGTTAAGTATTTCATTAGTTCCTCATTCACAGTTTTCCTGTGCTTGAGTCATTTTTTAAAACATAAAATTCCTGTTCAAAACTAGATCTTGAAGACTAGATATTAATATCTGCGTTGCAGTCACTTCTCAACAGTGAAGCAGATGCGAAAGAAGTGTCGTATTTAAACTCGACATAGAGCTGAAATAAATCCATTTGAATGATTTCGTTATTAATTGATAATGCTGTTTTTTAAGCAGAATGACCAGATGATTCTCACTTATGGTCGTCCTCTGCTTTTCTTTGTTTTATGTGTTGACCAAAAAAATCTTTAGTTTGGACAAAGGGAGAAATGAAGTGTAAATGTTAATAAGTAGCAATAACATCTCTTTGTACGGCACTTCTCGAAACCAGTGTTACAAAGGGCTTCACAGAAACACGGAATAAAAAAAAAAAAACAAGGTGGGAGGAAATTATAAAAAGGATTTGCATCTAAATTCAGATGGGACAGTCAAGACATCAAAATGTAAATAAGATACAGTGTGATTCCAGTATAATGAATATCTTAAAGACAACAATAACAATCTGTAAGGTAAAAGAAAAGATGGAGTTAAGCCAAAGATGTTTATATATAAAATCTATGCTAAAACTTACAAAAACGTTTCACAATCAGTCATCAGCAGCGATTTAAAAGAAGACCGTCAAAAGGCGGCAATCATGCAAACTCTCGATCGTCTTTTGTCTATAAGCGTGAGGTGTGCGCTGGTTGACCTCCTTTGCTTATGTGTGGCCTTTTTTTTTTTTCTGCTCCTGGATCTGTATGATGTCACAGAGAGCCGATATTTCAAATATGGTCATATGAGGAAAATGCTGTGACTCTTAGAGCTACAATGGCTTGTTTAAGACTGTGGACCAACTAAATAACCTCTCATATGAGGAAAAGTAAGCGTTTTGAAACATTTCAGTTTTTATTAATTAACCATGTCAGATATTGGAATCTTTAAAACGTTGGCATTTCTAGGTAGAAAATTGTGTTTAGTGATTAATATTCCAAATTGGATGCAGAGTCCTTTTCTCTGCATCTTAAGTGTCAACATGCGGTGTATGAAAATGTAGACTTCGCACTCCTGCATCAGCATTTACTAGTTTGTTTTTTTTTGTCATGATCACTGCATTGTTGACTTGACGGAGCTTCATAAATGCTGCTGCAGGCTTAGGCCAACAGTAACTCCTGCTCTGCTGGTTCAGTCTGATGTATGACTTGCTTTAATGGAAGCTCTGTGACCACAGCATCAGCTTGTCTTGAGTTTTAAATGGAATTGTTTTATATTTGCAGAAAAATCTTAATTCAAAAGAGCCTGTCGCTGGAAGTGTTGCGACTGTCAAAGCTGAATTCTGTAATGACTGCTGTTATCTCTAAAGGGCAACGCTAAAATTTCTTCATGACCTTCTTTAAATTATGAGGAACTGAGGGCACTCTGAGTTAAAGATGACTTGGAGGATGGAGAGTGGTTGACCTGCTAGCCACTGCTCCTGTGTCACTCTTGCTGTGTCACTGATGTGTTTTAAAGCAGCTGATTCATTCTGTCTGTGCTGTCTGTGTGCTTGCAGCTGTTTTCAGATTGTCCACTTTGTTTTGCATTTACAACAGCATTCTAAAAATAGTTGTCCCTCGCTCACCCCTCATCTTTCTTTCTCTCTCCGTCTGTCTCTCTCTCGGACAGGAAGTTGTTCTGTTCTTCATTCTAAACACTCGTTTCCTGTTTCACACGTTCTCTTTTAGATTTGGCTTCATGCTCCTCCAGGCTTCTGCCTCTTCCTCTCCATCACTCTCCTCCTCCCTTCAATAACTCCATGAGCACTATTTGACTTTTACCTCAGAGCTTTAGTTTTTAGTGGGTAACTTTTTACACAGTGGACTTTATCAGTAAAAGTGACTCAGCACAAGAACTGTTAGAAATTTAGTCCTAGGTGTTAAAATTGTGAATACTCGGCTCTTGTAAGTAAAGTCAGGTCAGTATTTGGAATAAAAAATGAATAGCTGCGCAGCAGGATACATATACCATGCAGTTACATTCTGAAAGTCAGTAAATTCCTTTTGAAGCTGTATTATTTACTGTGAAATGTAGAGGTAGCTGTTCATTAACTTGCCTATGTTGATGATTAGCCACATTGCTAGCAAACTGCACACCTGCCTGTTAGCATTCTGGGTGTTATAGCTGTTTTGCTAAGTAGGCTAGCTAACAAATAAAGCACTTAGTGAAGACCTTAAGATTTACAACACAACTAAATTGGCACCCAGAGTTTTAATGTGTTTAGTTCTTTATTGTCTGGAAGCTTTTAAAACAGCGTTTTAAGAAATGTAATATTCTGCTGTGCAAGTCACATTTTTCACCCATTCCTTCATGTAGAAATGGCTAAAAGCTGAAATGTTATAGGGTCATTTTAATATTAATAGTTACATAGCTGCAAAAAGTGAAAACAAAGTGTCACACAGAAAAGTTAAATTTGCATAGTTTTATTTTCATACTTGCTTTGGATTCTGCTCTAACGTGGAATGGAAAATGAAAGGCCCGGGTCCACCTATACACACATCCATATATTTTTAGTAGACAAAACATCAACTCCAGAGCGACTCCTGCATTCAGTCTACTTCTTAATCAAATTATTGTGTGACTTTTAAGTGGCACCATAGAGTACAGAAACAATCGGTGTGTGTTCATTTTGCTTGATAATGATCTAATCAACTAAAAGAGAATTTTACAACATCCGTTTTGACTCGCTGTTTGGGTTTGACTCCTATTTGTTTAAGAAGTGTTTGAGTGTGCGCAGTCACATGTACTTTTGGATTTGTAATTGTTTCTAAGGCTATTTCACCACATTGGCAAGTTGAATTTATTTAACTGAGCTTAAAAACTTTTATAGTCACCAGTCCGATCATCTTCATCAGTTCTTACTAACTGCTTACAGCTCTCTTCTCTTGGGATGTGTCTTGCCTCCCTCTTTTTAATGCTTTCCTGCAGGATAGTTGCCTGCTCGCTCATAATGTTGATGCTTTTTGTCTTCCTTACATATTCTCTGGTGAATTTTGAATTCTGCAACTTTTCACAGAGTTAAAGTCATGTGACAGCTGGTGTGGCGGCAGGATTCC